GACACTAGAGAGAATGCAGCTTTAACACATGAAGCTTTAGCTTCACTTTCGAGAACCGGAGGTTGCCACTTGATTTGTGCATGTGGGCGTCGCCACACTGGCTATCTAACGCCGTCCTCTCTGTAGCGTAGCACCTTAACCCTCCAGTTCCCCCTCAGATGAATACTGCTAGCTCTGTCAGGACTTTTGTCATCGTTAGCACCGTTAGCTGCGAGCCACCGGCTCAGCAGAAATGCTCCCAATCTGGTACATAGCACCTTTAATCTGCTCTCGTCTTTCGTCTTTAACGCTGTCGTCGTGTTTGCAGATGTGGACTTCGTCACTCCTCTGTGCTCTCAAGTCGTCTACGAGGGGCTGGTGGATGATATATTTAGAATCAAATGTGGTGGGTATGAAAGCAGCCTGTGGAGAGTCGACTGTGTTCAGTGTGAAGAGCTGCGTCTGTCCACATAAACACAGCTGAATCTAAAGATACAGTTTACGTCGGGCTGCACGATTATGACCAAAATGATACATCAATGTTGAGATCACAATTCCTTCATTTTAAGGACAAAATGTTTTTAGCACTTTTCACATTTGACATTATAATAAACAGAGCACTGCTCATGTTCACATCTTTGCATCAAAATAAGAACCGGTCGTATTTGGAAAGCATCTCCTAGAAGCAAATATAATTGTACCAAAACGTTTCACCCAAAATTCGATCACCAGAGCTTTGACTTTGATGTTCTAACTTCCTGCTAATGTACACGTTGTATCAAACATCAGACTGAAAATAAGCTTCTCATTCACCTGAGTGCATTTTCTTTATATTCAGTATATTACTTATTATATCTTCTGCTCTGGACCGCAGCTGCAACATTCAGGTAGTTTTCCTCAGGCTGCTTCTGTTTGACATACGGCAGGACAGCCTCAGCGCCCCCTGGTGGCTGGATGTTAGTGTAGGAAGCGCTTGATTCGATATGCAGCAGAGATTTCTACGAGTGGAGCATTTGAAACGTCAATCTTGCATTCGATCATATTCATGTGGTCGCGATTAATATTCGATTAATTGTGCAGCAGTAGGTTTATGTGTAAAGATGACGTGTTTTAATACACATTTTTAAATACCTGATGAACCGGCTCAGTTACCTTTTAACAAAGCTGAATTACACAGTGAACTTGTTCTCATTTACATATTTATTTTTCTGTTTCTGTTGTCGGACTTAACAAGCAGAAAATAAACTTCGCTGGTCATAAAATCTGGTTGTTAAATCAGACAACACCATTTTTCGATACGTCAACATCGTCTGACAAGATGATATTTTTGATATTTAAATTTTAATATAATTGCTAATTTGATAGATATAGATGTGTTTTGCTTCCATTTTGTCTGTGTTGCACTATTAAAAAATCTGTATATTTTTGGTGCTTTTTATTTCACTTTGGACCCTGATGGGTTTTATTTTGACAATATCAATAAAAAGCTTTTATTTCTAGAGCCCCTCTCAAAAAAATGTTACTTCAAAAAATACAACAAAGGTACAAAAATAGAGAATCGTAAAACACAAAGAAATTACAGGAAATGCAAAAAGAAAAGAAAAAATCAAATATGGATTTTAAGAAGTGGTCGAAAATATGAAACAAAATGTAAAACAACTTACAGCTGAAAACATGTATGTTATACAAAAGTCAGTTAACAAAGATGTTTTTAAAAGCTTTTTTAACTGAAGCACTGATTTGTGTTTTAATAATAATATAATAATATTACATAAATTTTTACACTTTAAAGACACTTTATTATAAAATAGAGGGAAATATTTTAAAACATACGTAAAATGTTTGGAGGTTAAAAGCCGATTTGAAACGATGTGTTTTTCCTGCAGAATGAAAGCGGCCATTGTTGTATAACGACACTTGTAGATTTATTTCGTACGTGTTTGATTATCGACGTCTCAGCGCAGCTTCTGTTCTGCAGGATGTGTGGAGTTTGGACCTGATGTCACGTCCTCTGACAAAAGTCTTAAAGTCATGCTGAACTCTCAGGATAAGGTAGGCTGATCATCATCATCATCATCATCATCATCATCATCATGACTCCTATGGTGAATGTTTGAACTCTCACACGCGTCTCGTAGGTCTTCAACGAAATCAGGAACGAGCATTTCTCCAACGTCTTCGGCTTCCTCAGTCAGAAAGCCAGGAACCTCCAGACTGCGTATGATGTGAGTAAATGTCCGTCCCCCTCATCTGTTATCTTAAGTCAGACTGACACTCTCTTTCTTTTGTCCTACAGAAGCGTCGGGTGATGGACATTAAGCAGATGAAGACGTTTGTGTCAGAGGAACTTAAAGGGTTAAAACAGGAGCATCGGCTGCTCAGCCTACGTGAGTGTTCATCACGTGGATTTTTGTTTTTTATTTCTTTTAAAGTTTGCTGAAGAGCACGTTCTCTTTCAGACATCGGTGCAAGTGAATCGATAATGAAGAAGAAGACAAAGCAGGACTTTCAGGAGCTGTTGAAGACAGAACACTGTAAGAAATGTTCGATTCAGCTTTTAGTTAAATGTGTTCCTTAATCATCAAAGGGACAGTAGAGATGTTTAGATGTGTGTTTGTGTGAGGTTCTTCTCCAGAGTCAGTTCTACTACAGTAGAGTTTAGGGAAACACAGGAGTACAATGTACTGCTGTGGACGTATTTTAGACTCCTTAAAGAATCTATATCACTTTAAGTTTTAAGCTTTATTTAGAATATTTACACCTCTTTACTTTGATGTCAGAGAACTGAAGCTGTTATCTTTGATCTCTACAAAGACACCAGACTCTATTCACTGAAACACTGATGTAACCTCTCAGAACACATGAGCTGCTGCTCTACTCTGCCTCCATCGTTAGTTTGTTTTATTGTGAGACTTCGGTGAATCTGAACTAACCCGTTACAACCTGAGCGGTGCCAGCATCAAACCTATATTTTAATTAGAACTAAAATCTATATTTGGGGGCTTAGGTTTTCTTAGAGGGCTTAAAAAAAAAGTGTGAACTTCTGCTTTAATGTCACTTCTGTGAAGCTGATGTTGTTATTGACACTCATCTTGTTTTCTGTCCCAGCTTTACTTGAAGGATTTGAAATCCGTGAAAGCATTTCTTTCTTAGAGGAGCACATCAGCAGACAGGTCAGTCTGATCCAGGATCAGGTCAAATTATTAATAACATGCTGGAAACTTCTTTATTCTTTTCTTTCTTTTCTTTTTCAAGGTCTCCATGATGGAAAGTCTGCGGCTGCTTTGTCTTCTGTCCATCACAGAAAACGGTTTGTTGTCTTTGTGTCAATATGAATGTAAAGACGCGTTCAGATTGTCCTCATGTTGCATGAATAACTGTGTGATGTTTCTCACAGGACTTCTGCCAAAAGATTACCGCTCATTAAAAGCACAATATCTACAGGTGAGATGTTTATGGGAGCAACAAATATACACACACACACACACACACACACACACACACACACACACACACACACACACACACACACACACGGCATTAGACACGTTTAAAAACATTAAAAACAACATTCGTATATGTTTCTATTATCATTTATTGTCCTTATTTCTTATGTGGTGCCATTTTGCTCACATTATTACATTTTGTCAGGACAAACAGGAACAACTCAAAAATAATGCTGCTGTGTTTTTTAGGGTATTTCGAGGTACACGTACTGTTTCCGTCTGTTTTGTGTGTATTGGACTGTTTTATTATTTTTGGGGAACGTGATTTACTAGCCCGAGTTAAGCCCCGCCCAGTTCAGGAGCCGCTGGCCTTCAATGTGAAACGTTGTCTCTGCTCGACCTCATCAGAGCTATGGAATGGACCACCTGCTCACATTTGCCAACCTGAAGCAGCTGGGGCTGCTGGTGGAGCAGCCGACGGGGGAAACGCTGACCGCCATGGAGAGCAAAGTGGGCAAACTGGTCAACGACAAAACTGCAGGTGAAACGGGCGTCTTTTTGTATTTCAAGTCTTCCAAAACACAATCTCAGTTTCTCTCCGTACGCCCAACCCTGACCAATGATTTCAGGAATTTCTTTTTTGTTATTCTATTATTTGTTTTTACAGGTAAGCTGACTGACGCCTTCTCTTCTCTGGCAAAAAAGAGCAACTTCAGAGCCCTGAGCCGAAAGCTCAACCTGGTAAAATCCTCATCACCGTTGCTATCTTGTTCACCGTGCCACGCTGAGAAGGCCGTATTTTAATCATCGTATTGTTATCGGTATTTTTGTGTAAAGGTGCCAAAGTCTGATGAAGAATACGACCTGCGCGTCCCACGAGACATGGCCTACATCTTCAGCGGTGCCTACGTCCCTCTGAGCTGCAAACTCGTCGAGCAGGTGAGCAAACGAACAAGGAGTCATTTATTCCTCGGGATCTCACCTGTTCTCTGTGTGGGAAATCAATAAGAGACGAGTGGAGTCACATGTTCCTCCTGCTGTGGTCACGTGTAGGTGTTGGAGCGAGACGGTTGGACGGGGCTTGAAGAAGTCACCAGGCTGCTAAATGGACATGAATTCGCTGTTACAGGTGAGATCATAAAGAGATATTAATATAATGTTGACGGTGAATCATTTGAGGATGTCAGCATGCACTTAGAAAACCCGATTACACGGTTTTTGCAATCGGTGTCAGAGATTAGAAAATCCTGATGACCTCGGCTGTATTTACCCCGGAGAAAGACGGTTTCTTGTTTCTTCTCGTGTAAATCTGTAACTATGAATGTTTTGTTTCTCATCAGGCAGCAGCGGAGCGGATTCAAAGAGCGACGCTCAGCGCATCATCCTTGTCATGTTCCTCGGAGGCTGCACCTTCTCTGAGATCTCAGCTCTCCGGTTCCTCGGCAGAGAGAGAGGTAACGATGGGAACTCTTCATGCGTGCCGATCATTTACTGTAGTTTACTGTAAATTCTTAGTTTCATAATTCCTGGCAAATCAGCTGACAGCATCTCGCATCACATTAAGCAACATTAGTTAATTTAAAAGGTTTTACAGCTTTATGTTTCTCTTCTTCATTTGCTATGCTGTGACGAGTGTGTAGACTCAAGTACATGTTCATTTATAACCGATTTATTAAAAGACTCCTAAGTTACATAAACAAATGAATCGGACTGAATTAACACTGCAGTTAGCTTTGTGTCAAAAGACCTGAAAGTAGGTCTAAGCATACTAAATAACGTGTGCCTTCTGTTCCCAGGTTGTAAATTCATCGTGGTGACGACTGCGATCACAAACAGCTCGAGACTCATCGAGTCTTTGCTGGGCAACCGAGTATGAAGTCCGTCAAACACACCGCGATGGACAGACACCTAGACGTTCCCTCCAGCTCACGTCTGTCTGACAACGAGTGAACTGTAAAGATGTATAAAGTGAATAAATGTTTTTAACACGGTGGATGCCTTTTCACTTTATCAAAGCGTTCAGGAAGACTCCACTGTATCTGTTGAGACGGGGTTGTTACTCCAACTAGCTTTGGAAATCAATAAATGTACTTTTTACTCCACTACGTTTGTCTGTCTGCTTTAATTACTTTTCACATGACGGCTTTTCTTCTCCTTCCTGTCCAGTGAAAACCACGTATCTCCAGATGTGTTGATGCTGAATGTTTGATAAACTGAAGGATGAAGTGTTCCCTTATGTGTTGAATGTT